CATGAAGCACCTTGGATAATCTCCAGAAATCAATTTAAAGGGTAATAAAATAATTGCTGATGTAATATTTTCCCTATAATTATTACAAAAACACTAAATATGTAAAAATAAGTATTTATGTTTGTGTACAAAGTGTTTAGATTGTCAAAAAGCCTTTGTTTTTATGGATATTAATGAAGCTCATGTACTCAGACCAGTAATATTTGGGGTCACAAGTTTTTGCCATTTGTGGGTCAGAGGACAAAAAGTTTGGGAACCACTGATCTAGAATAATGTGAATGACTAAACCARAAAAAAAGAAAAGAAATTCAGATCTCAGCAAAATATTGGAACTGATCATCAAGACATGCAGTGTGAACATAGTGGCTGTTACATACAACTAAATAATAAAAAACATTTTTTTCTGCCAGCTTACAAAGATCTTCAGTCCAGAGAAGTCATTAGAAATGCAGCCTGGCAGCGTGAAGGCTGGGATGAGGTTGTTTACTACACAGGTAGGTTTAAGTTTGCATTTATACATGTGGGACAGCTACTAGAGAGCTGAAACTACCTTGTTTTTCTTCTTTGTGTTTACAGTCCCTCTTATTCAGCACATGGAATCGAGAATAATGATCCCCATGAAGACTTCGCCCTTGAAGTAACAACAAACAGAAGGGAAATGTTTCAGCAGCCACTGCTACAAGAACACCGATCTGTGTGTGATTAACCACCAGGATGTGCACTGCCAGGATCATCAACAGAATCTGAAGATGTTTTTGTTTTGTTGTTCCTCCTTTATGCCTTTTTAAAAAATGAGGTCAGCATAACTGTCTAAAAGTGGACCTGTTACAAGTTTTACTTTCTCCTCTGCTTAAACGGTTTTGTCACATAAAAATAAAATACAATGAAAAATGCATAAAACTTTTTTTCATAAATTTACAACAAAAGCATTTTTTTCTCAATCACTTGCTAATATCAAGCTTATAAAAGAAACCAGTAATGGTTATGTCATTTGTTTAAACTTTTTTTTTCTTAAAAAAATGTTTTATGTTTACAAATCTTCCATCCATCTGATTGGGATAGGTGGGATTAACGCCAAAATAATTTTTAGCTCTTGAAGTTAATGGCAGTAAAATTGCACAGTCACACAAGAAGACACAAACACACCGTTTGAAAAATTGACTTTTCAGTTTTGTTTTGTTTTTTGCATTAAGCGACCACATTCTTCGATTCTTTCTTAACTTTAACATCATAGCACTGATGGCTCTGAAAACAATGAAAATATGGTTAAAATTATTGGGAAATGTGTTTGGGTTGAGATGATTTAATCAAGATTTACTGAATAAACTACTGAACATTCACTGATTTAGTCTATCTGTTAACAGCAGCTGGGTGACTGCTCGCTTTCACTGAGAATATTACTGCTTTATCATTAAAGCTGAATGTAGAATTACAAAGTAGGCTTATTAAGCAAGCCGGGATTGTGGTCAGTTCTGTTAATGAGTGAGGTCATTCTAATCATCTTTTACTGAGAAAACTAGTTAATTGTGTTGTGATGAAATGCAGTGCTGTAATAACTTTGACTGTACATATTAAATGTCTGATGAAGAGACAATAGTCATGTTTTTGTGTTTGATCACTTTTAAGGATTTTTAAGTGTCCTTGGTGCGTTTAATAACATCGGAAATGCCGTAAAAGTAGGAACTTGCATGCAGGTATTAGAAAAATAGTCAAGTCAACTGATTTAATTATGCTGATAATGGTTTTATACATGAAACGTAGAGAAGAAAATAAATGTTAGGTGTTGGAAGGATAAGATATAAAGCAAAGTGCCTTCCGAAAGCGGAATGTCCCACCCGCGTTTCGTCCTCTGAAGGCAACACGACAACACGTGTTTGGAGCCTTCTGGAAGCAGGCTTTCCTTCCTAGTGCTGAGCACGAGCGTTAGCAGTGCTAACTCAGCCGGCGAGATCTTCGAACTTTACTCCGCTGGTTGTGCTGCTTAGCAATGGCTGCCGTAAAAGCGTTAAACCCTAAAGCGGAGGTGGCCAGAGCACAGGCTGCCTTGGCTGTTAACATCAGTGCCGCCCGTGGGCTCCAAGACGTACTGAGGAGCAATTTGGGACCTAAGGGGACCATGAAAATGTGAGTGCTATTGGGCTCTTTGTGCAGCACGCGCACCAAGCTAACTCACGGCTAAGTAGATAGCATTTGCCATTAAACTAGAGCTAGCAAACTATTTGCACTTGTATTGGTTTTGTCGCAACAAAAGTTTATATAAAACCGTTTTATGCCTTCTGAAGAAACTATTATAAAATACTCTATAATTCGACCGGGGCCTCTTGTTCTTAAGTGAATAGCGGGATGATGCCCTGCCCAGTCATCGTCATTATCCGCTCAGACACCGCTAAGCTAACGTTAGCATCAACCTGTTAGCAAGGTTCAGCTAAGGCCAAAATTGTGGGGAGTTGATACCCTGTTATTGATGTGATCGGGTTGAATTCTGGTGATTTTATTAAAATGTATTTTGCTTTGAACATGCAGGCTGGTGTCTGGTGCAGGAGACATAAAGCTGACCAAAGATGGCAACGTTTTGCTACATGAGATGGTAAGGAAGTGTTTAGGTAAAATCACTTCATTCATTGTATCTGAGCCTGCAAATATCTGTTCTTAATGTCTGGAAGAAGGATTCACGTTCTTAAACCCTTTTTAATTCATTACTTTATTTCCCACTATTAAGTGACCACACCCCGATGTGTGTGCATGTGTTTAACTTGTTTTAAGACATTTTATTTGGCTGATTGTTGTACTAAACTGGGAATAAAACTACTGTATGTTTAAAGCACATAGTATAATTTTTTGTTGTTTGCTTTTAAAATAACTTCCTAAAGTTTAACAGACCAAATAATTTGACTGCTGACCAAAAGAGTGTGTACCAAATTACAAATAAAAAATAAATTATATTCAATTTGTAGAAATTAAATGCAAATAGAATTTGCTTAATCACGTTTTGCTATGTCTGTGTTATTTAGTTGTTGCTTATGTGTCTGTTTGCATTTTTTGGTTCATTTCATTTTTAGCAAATTCAACACCCAACAGCATCGCTGATTGCTAAAGTTGCGACGGCGCAGGATGACATCACAGGAGACGGAACGACCTCAAACGTCCTCATCATCGGCGAGTTGTTGAAGCAAGCGGATCTGTATGTGTCAGAGGTACGACTGTGAAGTCACAGGCTTGTGCAGCTGGGTTTGTGTGCGTTTTACTTTTTTAATGAAGTGAGTTTTAAAACAACTAGGGCTGCAGCTAACGATTATTTTTAGTAGTCAATTAATCTATCGATTATTCTGACGGTTAATCGAGTAAAAATTAACAAGTAAAATGGGTAATATAAACATTTGGTTTTTGCAGTTTATTTTTGTAGAGTTCACTTGTTAATTGTAACAAAAAATTCATATTTTTTTAAGACTTATTAGGTTGATGCAGGGCTCCCATTTAGGCAATAAAAGATTKAGTCTTGACTGCTTAGTTATAAACAAATATGACAGTAGTAATGAAGGCTAAAAATCATAAAAAGCAGCAGCAAATAAAGAAATCCAACAATCTTCTATAAATACTTTTAAACTTGAAACATTTACTCCAAGTATCTCATTTAAATTAAGATAAAAGCATATCAACAAATAAATGTGTTTCAGCTCAAGCTGTCGATCTGTTGTGCTTTTATTTTTATCTGACAAACTTATAGTAAGTCTTGTTTTTAATAACACAACTTACACACTGTTTAATAAAACACTGCCAGGTCACCATGATTAGTCAGCACAAATAACGTTAGCTTAAAAATACCTCCTCCTTATACATCTGTAACCTGACAGATTATCACAAATTTAGGTAACCGTATTTTGCAAAAGGAACGTGAACGATAACTGTTGTTACCTCCGGACGTGTTTGGCACGTGCAGTAGGGGTGTAAGAAAATATCGATACACTGAAATATCGCGATATTTCATTTCCCGATACTGTATCGATATTCTAAAGCCCTGTATCGATTTTTWATTAAGGTTTAAAATGTCAACCTTCTTGCCAACCGTTCCATTTTTATGTTGTAGTTCAGCCTCTGACCACTAGTTGGCAGCAGTGAGCCAGCCATTTGGCTCCTCTACCTCTTGAGCGCCAGAGAGTAATGGTAGCATTAGCATTGTAAGTAAACATTAGCTTTTCTTTTTTTCACTAAGAGGTTTTTATTTAATAGAATTTTTGGACAAAAGATCGCAATATATCGCAATATATTGCCTTGCTTACAGTATCCCAATATATCGGGATGTATCGTATCGTGACCCCTCTGTTATGATATGTATCGTATCGCCAAATTCTTACCAATACACAGCCCTAACGTGCAGCAGTGTTTTTGTTCCGTGCAGAAGCATGGCGGATGTGAAGCGTACTGCACGTTGTCGTCTTTTCTGTTTAGTTTTAAATGTTCCCATGCTTTTTTAAATTCGTCGTCTTTTGGGCACTTCGTTTCGGCACTCTTCGTCTTCTTCTAAAGCTAAATATAGCGCTTAGCAAGCATACACGCGTGATGCGTCGACATTGTAACTGTTAATAGAAGCGCTAACATGGTAGCTTTGGGTGTAACACAAAAAACATTCTGGGCGGAAAGTGCGCTGATTATAACATGTATTTTTTACGAAGCTTCGAGGCAGATAAATTTGCCTCGAGGATTTTTTGTAATTGAATTACTCAAATTATTCGAGGAATCGTTTCCCCCCTAAAAACAACTTGTTGTGGCAAATCTTTTTCAACGCCTAAATGTATTTTTTTATATACATTGTCGTCCTTAATTTGTTTTGGTTTTGTGTTGCAGGGTCTTCATCCAAGAATAATTGCTGAGGGCTTTGAGGCAGCAAAAGAGAAAGCTTTGGCTGTTCTTGAGGAAGTGAAGGTGTCTCAGGAAATGGACAGAGAGACGCTCATCAACGTTGCTCGGACTTCCCTCAGGACCAAGGTCCACACAGAGCTGGCAGATCTGCTCACCGAGGTGAGTAAACAGATTTTTGCTCTGGTTCAGCAAAGTTATGTTGATGCAACCTGAGTTTTGTAGCTGACATTCAAAACATGAACTCATTCTAAGTTAGACAATCTCTGGAGCCACTTCGGTAAAAGTAATCTGTCTTTTAGTGTGGTAGTTTGAATTTGTAAACTTCAGATTAAGTGTCAGTTTATTCTGGTATCCAAATCTTTATTTCTCCTATTTTTACTTGGCTGCAGGCTGTAGTAGACGCTGTGCTCGCCATCTCTAAACCCAATGAGCCCATTGACCTGTACATGGTAGAAATCATGGAGATGAAGCACAAAACTGACAGCGACACACAGTGAGTTCTAATGAAGACAACAAGGTTGGGTTTCAGCTTTCTGAGAGAAGTCTAAAAGCTGCTTCTGCCTTTCTCAGGCTGATCAGAGGTTTGGTGATGGATCACGGCGCTCGACACCCAGACATGAAGAAGAGGGTGGAGGATGCCTACGTGCTGACGTGCAACGTCTCACTGGAGTACGAAAAGACGGAGGTCAACTCCGGCTTCTTCTACAAGAGCGCAGAGGAGCGGGAGAAGCTCGTCGCTGCTGAGAGGAAGTTCATTGAGGATCGTGTGCAGAAGATCATCGCCCTGAAGAAGAAAGTTTGTCCCAGTGATGAAAAAGGTTTCGTCGTCATTAACCAGAAGGTAATGTCAGAGAGCTACATTATTAGAGCTTTTTTTACATTTTGTAGAGTGATTTGCACTGACGTTCATCACATGATGTCTAATATTTGTGAGAAAGTTGAGCTACATTCGAGCGCACAGTGAACACCCAAGGAYGCTGTTGTGGCTCTCCCTGGTCTCCTGTACCTGTGCCACAGTAACTCTGATCTGTATCTCTGCATTAAGAGAGCCTGCTCCTCTCCTACGTGTATTCAACGGATCAGAACAATTCTTGCGTCATTCAGCAAACATAAACAACAACAGTTAAACTGAATGTTTACAATTTGTGTTTATCTGTGTTGCTCAGGGTATTGACCCGTTTTCCCTGGATGCCCTCGCCAAGGAGGGGATTGTTGCCCTGCGCAGAGCAAAGAGGAGGAACATGGAGAGGTATGAAAGAAGCATCTTTGTCAGATAATTTAAAAACCAGTCGTGATCTTTATTTTCCAGTAGGTGTTTTCAGAAGCTACATTTTGTTACCAGTTATAACAAACACAAGGTTGTGCTTTGTCAAATTCCTTTAGAATGATGGTTAATGCTCAGTTTTTGCTAAATGAAACAAACATGTAACTAGCGTTCTTAAATTATTTTCTGTTCACTGTTAAATTMAAGGAACTGCATTTTAAATTTAGCCTTCCTATTTGTTTTGCAGGCTCACGCTCGCTTGYGGCGGTATCGCCATGAATTCGGTTGATGACCTCACACCTGAATGCTTGGGTCATGCTGGGCTGGTTTATGAACACACGTTGGTGAGTCTGTGTGTCCGTGTCTGTCTGAAAAACAAACCCTCTGTGTGTGTGAGGTTGCTGAGGCAGGCTTGTTTGATGCTGTGTTTCAGGGGGAGGAGAAGTACACGTTTATTGAGAAGTGTGAGAACCCTCGCTCAGTCACCCTGCTGGTGAAGGGCCCCAACAAACACACCCTCACACAGATCAAAGACGCTGTAAGGGATGGTCTTCGGGCGGTCAAGAATGCGATTGAAGATGGTAAAGAACCTACATTTACAACTTGTTTCATTTTGTAMGTTTTATTACCAGTGTAGGYAAGTTATGGTGTCAAACAAGGAGTTTATATAGAACAGCTGGAGTGCCCAGAAACCASSTGACCRTGTGATCGGCTGGAGAAGCTAACGGCTAACGCTAAACGGGCAAAACTCTGGATTTCCCATCACTGTACATGTTGACAACAGAGCAGAAAAAAAGGATTGAAGATGTAGAAATCATAAAAACTATTAATAATAATATTAACCCAATTATTATTAATATCTTACAGTTTATATAATCTATCTAATGTTTTAAATAATGCCAGAAAAGCTGTTTGTGTTATGAATTTATTAACAAAAGATAAACAGGAAAACGTCTCATTTCACAACACAAGTCAGCAGATTTGATCTTATTTAGCTCAATGTGATCTGAGCAGAACATAATGTAACAGTTTAAAATTAAAATAATCTTATAAAGTCCATGTAATCACTGTTATTTATTGAACTGGTTAACAGATATTAGCTTGTGGAGCATTTATACAGAGTGTAGCACTGATAAATCATGTTACAATTTAACACAAACTATTAAATATTACTTTGTCCTCTGATTAACATTTAGACCTACAGAGTGTAAAATAATATTATAAATGTGAGTATTTTTAGGTTTCTGTTAGAGGAACCTGACCTGTTAAGAAGATGTTAGCTAATAGAGACAAGTTTCATCCTATAAGCAGGAAACATTTTCTAACTGTTGACTGGTAAATATAAATATTCTCGTTTTTTTATGATGGTAAGAAGAAATAATAAATATACTTTATTACTAGCTGAAGTCATTTTTCAACTAGCTAAAGTCTAAGTTACAGGCTGACTTCAGGTCTGGTTTAGATCATTGTTACTTATAAATTATATATATATTATGGTATATATATCTGCTGTTTTACATGATTGTCTATGGTCTCAAACCACTGTGGGTTCCTCTAGCTGCTGTAGTAAATGTCATCTGGAGGAATCATCTCTCATTAGGCTTTAATGGAAGTTACTGTTAGCTGTTTGTATTTGCACAGCGAACACCCAGGGATGCTAACGTGGCTCTCTCTGGCCTCACGTCTGTGCTACATCGACTCTGGTCTTTACCTCTGCATTTGGAGAGTTCCATCTCTTCTACGTGTATTCAGAAGATCAGGACAATTATTTTAAAACTGAAAAGTTGTTTGACTTTTATCAGTGTGGATTATCTCATGTTAGTGTTTCTATCTGTTCAGGCAGCGTCGTGCCCGGTGCAGGTGCCTTTGAGGTGGCCGTGGCTGATGCTCTGGTGAAACACAAGCCCAATGTGAAGGGCAGGGCTCAGCTGGGAGTTCAGGCGTTTGCAGATGCTCTTCTAGTCATCCCCAAGGTGGCGTATTCTGATTTTCCTCACAAGCTTTCAGTTTGTGTTTACTTGAATTTAAGTTGTTTCTCCTTATGATGTGTTCAAATGTTTTTGTTCTTCTTTCTCTGCAGGTCCTGGCCCAGAACTCTGGTTATGATCCACAGGAGACCCTGCTGAAGCTGCAGACAGAGTACAAAGAGTCCGGTCAGCTAGTTGGAGTTGATCTTAGTACAGGTTTGTTTTCAAAAAGTAAAACACCATGAAGCTGTGTACATGCTCATGAAACAGATGTCAAACTGTTAAAATCCTAACATCATGTTTTTCAGGGGAGCCGATGGTGGCAGGAGAAGCAGGTGTTTGGGATAATTACAGTGTGAAGAAGCAGCTCCTTCATTCATGGTGAGATGCATTTCTAAGTCATAACCAGTAGAATCTATGCACTCGCCCTGAATACATGTTTTCAACCATCTTTAATGTTTGTTTACAGCACGGTGATCGCCAGCAACATCCTGTTGGTAGATGAGATCATGCGAGCTGGAATGTCTTCACTGAAAGGTTAAAGGTCATCTAGAGGAAGTGCAGCTGTTGGACTCACAGGGACAGTTGTGTATCTGATGGTTCAGTCAACATGATCCTGCTCTCAGCACTCTGAAGCTCCCCTGTCGATGGACAGCCTCCCGACCAAACCCACGGCGCCCATCACATCAGTCAGAAGTCATCGTTCTCCTGGTCATGTTTGTTTTTCAGGAATTTGTCAATGCCTCCATCTGAAATGATTGGTTTATTTATGAGATTTTGTTAAAAGCACTGATCTCTGTCACACAGTTATGTTTCTGCCCATTAAAAGGTTTCTTGGCTTCCAGAGGATTCAAGTATTTTTATTTTAAATGTGAGGACAGAAACACAAAGACAAATGAATTTATGCAGTCTGTTGAAGATCACYAACTCAAATCAGGGGATTTAAACTAATAAAAGGCTTTTGTTTTGCTCAACCTACAAGGTTTATTGTTTTCATTCCAGAATTGTGTTCTAGTATTATTTTATAAACCATCTATAGGTGGAGCTGTGCTACATGAACACTAACACAATCATTGGTGAAGATGGATATATACACAAATATGGCAAATTTACAGTGTAAGTACTGCAAAGTGGTACTTGAGTAAAAGTACAAGTATCTTACCAAAAAATTACTTTGGTAAAAGTTAAAGTCTCCTTTAGGAACATTACTTGAGTAAAAGTATCAAAGTATGTGATATTTTTTGTATTTAAGTATTAAA